ACTTCCGACAACAACTTGGCAGTTTACCCAGATTAAACACACGTTTGATATATTCCTTGATAGATACTGCTCCCTGGCATGAAAAACTCTTCCAGAGAGAAACTGCACGCAAATATACGTAGCGGGTTTATTCACGACTGCCAAATTCTGAAAACAACTAATACATTTTCAGTTGGTGAATGGGATAAAATGCAGCCAGCACATAACACACAGTAAAATGTTATTCTCTCTGAACTTGAAGCCAAATCCTGCAACAGCCTTATCTGTAATAGCCAAAGCTATAAGCGACTAGAACACCCGTTAACTGAATGGATTTTAAAAACACGTAGCATACAATGGGGCGCTGGCTGGTCAGCAATACAAATCAACACCACTGAGTCATGCAACATGTGTGTGTGCACGCCAGAACACTGTTTCCTCATGAGAATACTAACCAAATTTCACTGCTACAGTCTACAAAACGCGTGCTGATGTCTGTGGATAGGGGACAGGAAGAGATGGCAGAGATAGGAAGGAACACGGGTCCTTGGTTGTGTGGGATATGCACATTATCTTTTAGGTTTGTTTTTGGTTATCTGGTTTTGGTTTTCTATAAGTCCCGGGGTTGGACTTAAAGGTGATTGTGTGCCAACCAATATGGGTGTTGTGAACGAAACCCAGGGCTTCTAGGACAGATAGAGCTGTTAACCATTGAGCCATACATTCTTCAGCCCCGACACATGATCCTGAATACGATGAGTTCACAGGGGTATCCAGATGCTGAAAAAGCGTACATCTTGTATTTTACATATTTGTAATGCATTGCATGTTAGCTATACATCAATAAAGTTTTGTTTTTCAAGACAGGATTTCTCTGTATGTAGCCCCGGCTGTCCTTGAGCTCACATCAAGTGCTGGAATAAAGGCGTGTGCCCCCACTGCCTGGCTAAGGTTAATGACTAATTTTCTAGAGACACAGTACTTGGATACCACTGAGAAGGGTGGCAGGCATACAAGGCAGGCATACAAGAAAGAATATTTGGGTGCTACCACAAGACGGTGGGGCTACCCACCAACCTACCTACCTACCTGGGCTGCATCATGCCAACTGATCAACAGTTAACAGTGACTTTTGAATCCAAGGGGATCCATGACATCAAAGGGACCCAATTCACACAGCTTCCAGGAGCAAACGCATTTTCACACCTCCTGTGCTGCCGTTGGAATGAACAATGAAATCACAGGTGACCCTTACACTCGAGCATATAATTTAGCAGACCAAGCTCTTTCTAGTTTGGCCTCAGCAATGGGGCACATTCTGTTAAAGTAGACCAAGAACTCTCTTGTTATCTTGTGATCTTATCTGAGGCAAATAAAGATGGTGCCTATATATATCACCATAAATATGCCTATAAATAAAGATCACTCTGTGTTGGCAGAGCCCAACTTCTTTCTCAATCCACTGGACATTGCAAACAAAACTAAGCAGAATGGCTGCTGTCATATTCTTTGTCACTGAAAAGCAACAGCAATGGGCAAGACAGTTTCAAGGTGGGAACCTGGGCAAGATTACGGTCACAAGTCAACATTTTCCGGAACAAAATGCCTGGCAATCTGCAGTAGGACTCAGCTGGGATCCTTTAAGTCAAAGTTAGCTGCCTGCTTAGACTCCACTTGTGGCAGGAGAAAGAAGCCTCGGTGGGCTTTGAACACTCGTCATTCCCTGGAGGGGGACAGCAAGCAAATGTCTGCCTTTCTGGGGCAGAACGGACTGACGGAAACAGATGGTAATAGCGAGAGGGAATCTATAATCTTTGGCAGTGACGCAACTCTGTGAAGAGCCCTGGGCAGTTTAGAAAGCTGAATACATCTAGTGAAAACCTTCCTACACGTGATGCTAACTGGGAATCTCCCTGACTGGATGTAAGAAACGGACCAGGGTAACCTGCAGGATGATGGTTGCTCCATAAACAGTGCTCACTGAGCTTTGCTCCAGTGTGAGTATTAGCTTAAAAATGGTAGCATCAGATTTCTCTCATTGCATAAGGCTTTTCTCTAGGATGAATATATTTTTTTTTTTTTTTGTAGACCAGGCTGGCCTAGAACACACAGAGATCCACCTCCCCCTGCCTCCCCGGTGTCGGGATTAAAGGCGAGATGCCACCATGCCCAGCTGAATCATTTTCTTGTTTTTATGCTAAAGAAGTTTAAGAGCTACAGCTAAGGGGTCACCAAAGCTGTCGCACACGGGAGCAGGCCTTTCTTCCTCCACGTGCACCTTCTGATGCTGCAGAAGATGAGAACTTCTGGTATAGGCTTTTCCGCATTCCGTGCAGACAAAAGGCTTCTCTCCGGTGTGGACCCTCTGGTGGAGGATGAGGTTAGAGTTATTGCCACACTCGCTGCACCCGTAAGGCCTTGCTCCCGTGTGAACTTTCTTGTGCTGAACCAGGTTGGCGCTGCTAATGTAGGCCTTCCCGCACTCGTCACACACGTAAGGCCTGGCTCCGCTGTGAACTCGCTGATGCAGGACAAGGCTGGAGTTGTGACTGAAGCATTTCCCGCATTCGCTGCAAGCGTAGGGTTTGGCTCCGGTGTGGATTCTCTGGTGCACAATGAGGTTGGAGCTGTGTCTGAAGCACTTGCCACAGTCCCGGCACTCGTAGGGCCTTTCCCCGGTGTGGATTTTCTGGTGCCTGGCAAGCATTTGTTTCTGGCCGAAGGCCTTCCCACACTGACCACACTCGTGCGGCTTTGCACCAGTGTGGATTATCTGGTGCTGAGTCAGCGTGTCTTTGCAGCCAAAGGCTTTGCCACACTTGCCGCAAACGTAGGGCCTCGCTCCCGTCGCGTGGGCCCTCTGGTGTTTCAGGAGGCTGGATGTGTGGCTGAAGAATTTCCCGCACTGGCTACACTCATAGGGCCTCGCTCCCGTGTGAATTCTCCAGTGCTCCATGAGGTGGGAACTCTGACTAAAGGATTTCCCACACTCACTACACGTGTAGGGTTTCTCCCCAGTGTGAAACAGTTGATGCTGGGCGAGGACGTCTTTGCGGCTGAAGGCTTTGTCGCAGTCGCTGCACTTGAAAGGCCTCTCCCCTGTGTGAACTCTCTGGTGCTGAACAAGTGTGTCTTTGCGACGGAAAAGCCTCCCACATTCATGGCACGCGTAGTGGCTTTGCTTTCTGTGAAATTTCTGGTGCATGGCTAGACGTGACGGGTGAGCAAAGGCCTTGCCACACTCCTTACACACATAGGGTGTCTCTCTGGTGGGGATGTCTCCGTGATTCAAAAGAGTGGGCATCTCCTTGAACACGTTCCCAACCGGCAGACACCTGAAGGGTTTCTCCTCAGTGAGAGGAATGTGACTGTCAGGAGCAGGAGAGGCGTGGGGTGAGGTGTGCCCACTGTCACTGTTGTGGACAGTCGGCCCATCACTCTCGCCTTGGTGTTCCCCAAGGCTGCAGCTCTGTGTGAGCGGCTCCGGGCACTCAGTGTTCTTGCACAGATTCGCCTCCTCGGGCGCTGTGCCCTGGGTGTGTTGCTGCAGGGGGCTGCCACTGTCCAGCCGGTCCTTCTCGTCTTCTCTGCGTGCGCAGGGTG